TATCCCTTATATTGTATGCCTATGGGCTTTCAATTTGGAGTTTCATGTCTTAGAATATTCCTTCAGCTCTGAAAAGCTTTTTTATTTCTTTTTTTTCTTTTTCTTTTTTTCTTTTTAAATCAAGGTGGTATTGGGTTTACAATACAGTGTATAATTCAGAAACATAGGACCTGTATGTTACATCACATCCACCACCTAGGTACCATAGAGTGCCAACATAGTGCATTGTGCTCTTCTCCTCCTTCTCTTTTATCTTAACCCTCTCCTTCTAGTAACCTGAGTTTTACTGTCATATTTCTAGAGTTTGTTTTAGGTTGGTGTTTTTGGCTTGTTTTTTAATATTCTACATATAAGCAAAACCATCTGGTATTTATCTTTCTCCTTCTGACTTATTTTGCTTTAGTATAATCCCTTCAAGTTCCATCCATGTTGCTGCATGTGGCAAGATTTCATTCTTTTTATAGCTAAGTAATATTCCATTGTATGTGTTTATATCTGCTATATTTTCTTAATCAATTCAGCTTTCTTTGGGTACTTAGGTTGCTTCTATAACATGGGTATTGTATGAAAAGTTTTTCCTGTACTATTTCTTTGATCACCCTTGCTCACCTCCCCTATCACCCCCTCTCCTGTTTTTATGAACTCTTTTTCTATAATACTATTACTGGAATATTGACTCTCCTGGACTGATTATCAGATTTTTACCATTTTCACATTTCTGTAATACTACCATTTTCAAACCTTTCTCCTACATTTATGTTATGAATTTATTGTCATAATATGTGTTTTCTGATGTTTCCTTTATTATACTGTTTTTTTCTTGCTTCTTGATGGCAGATTCTACCCTTACCTCTGAGAATATGAATTGTAATTGATTTGAAGTACCATCCCTTCTCCCTCAGGGTTCTCTTTTTCTTTGTGTTGTTTATTTGCTCTTATGTTAGAGATTTTACTTAGCTGTATGATGAATTTTGACTGTATATGTCTGTATTATAAAGGGATAAATTAAAACATTGGTGGGAAATTTGAGTGCATGAGTTGATTAATGAACTTAGTGGTGTGATGATCACATAACAATCTAGACTTTTTCTTTGGGATTCCAAAATGCAGTTGTCATGTAGCATTTCTCTTACACCATTAATATTCCCGGAGAATTCAGTATTATTCTGACTGAAATATATATGCCTGTTTGAAGACATCTTGAAATAAAAACAGGAAAATAAAATGAGTCTCAATCTCTATTACCCTATTGCCACTGTGCAAGATTTCTTGGTTCACTTGTTCTCTCCAGAGAATAAACATACAGTCTGCTGCCAGGATGAACAAGATGAGAGGAAGCAGTAATAAGATAGTTGTTTGGCTGCCTAGGCAGGAGACACAGCCTACTGGGAGTTAGAAGGGAGGCTAATCATTCTAAATATAACATTCAATGAATTTTTTTTTCCTTTTAAACCTTTCACTTTCTGCCATGTCTGTGCCTTCAGCTACTGAACCTTTTCAGAATCCAAGAGTTCAGTCAGATTCACTTACTGTTAGTGTCTATTGCTCTAAAAACCCAGGTGGTAGGTCTCTTTTTCTGCTAAAGCACTTCCATCAGTTTCAATCACTTTCTAAAAAGTTTCTGAAATCTCCATTACTGTTGACTGTTGTTCTCTTTCCTAGTCTCTTCGTCCTTATAGATTGATACCTTTTCAGTTTCCTTTATTTTTCAAGTTATTGGTATTTTAAGGTTAATTTGCTACATTTAACCAGAAGAATCATTTTTAGTAACTTAAGAAATAATTTTTGACACTTTTTTTCTCATATTGAACTGAGATGCAGGCCAGAGTTGTGGGGGTAAAAGGATTCACCAGAGAGAGAGTGGGGAGTAAAAAAGGCAGATATACTGAAATACACCACGAAGGAGAGCAACAGGTGAGATAAGAGAGGTCTGCTTGCCATTATATGGGTTAGCTCCCTGTCCAGGGATCAAACTCCATCTGTAGAGTAGATATTGCTAAGACTTAACCCCTAGGTCACCAGGGAGGCCCCAAACATGTCCCAATTATTTAAAACCTTAATTTGTTAAATATATATATATATATATATATATATATATATAAAGAGTGAGAGAGAGAGAGAAAGCATAAGTCTGCTAAATAAACTACATATTCAGGCTACATATTTTCCCCCTTTTTTATTATTAAAAATAATATATTATTTATTAAAATAATGTTATTTATTTAGCAATTATTTAAAAATAATGTCTTACATCATTGTTAACTTTTGGACTATATTTGATTTCTCCCCTCAGGTGTAGTCCCTGTGGTTCTCCGACCACCGTGGCACTTGTGATCCAACACTAAGCTTGTCCCTTCCTCATTCAGACCACATTTTATATTGCTACATTTCATATGAAAAAATGGTATTGAGGGCCTCCCTGGTGGTGCAAAGGATTAAAGCGCAACACTATGAAGCTGTCCGCAATCACTGCAGCATGAGTTCTATCCCCAGCCAGGGAGCTGACTCACGTGGCACAGCAGACCTCTCCTGACTCACCCACTGCTCTCCGTAGCAGTGTATTTCAGTCACTCTATCTGTCCTGCTCCCCACTCTGTAGCTGGTGAATACTCTCACCCCCCCCACACACACACACACACATCTCTGGCCTATACCCCAGTTCTTGTATACATAAATGAATAAATCTTTAAGAAAAAAATGAAGCAACTAAAAAAGAAAAAGGAATGATACTGCTCATCAATGTTCAGATATATATAGTTGGAATCCGTTTCCAGGAATGGTTAGTGGACTTGATTTGAGTCTTCCACCTCTCCATACTTAGTAAGGAGTGTATACATAAGCATTCATAAGGCTGCCAGCTAAATTTAGGGGTTTTCAATAGTATAGAGTTGTATTTCTTCATTAAGCCATCACATCTCATGGAAATTGACCCCTTAAACTTGGCTTCTTCATTAGCACTCTTCCTCATCCAGCTTTTGTTGTTCTGGTTGTTCCCAGAAAATGAAATACTACACTGCATTTTCTTTAGAATGATCTAAACATTTGAACCTAACATTTAAACCTGATGTAGTATCTGACTAAAACAGTTCATCAAACATCTTTCTTTTTTCCTATGCATGATCCAAAATTCCTTTTTTTATATTTTCTTCTAGAATTGGAGAATTTAAATCCTTATAACTGAGCTCATTTCCTAATTTAATTTGTGTCAGGTTTGACTGACTGCAAACCTAGCATAAATATAACCCAGTACACTGAATATACTTAGAGAGTATTCCCATTTGCTAAAAGAGAAAATAGAACTGCTTTCTACATATACTTTCCAAAATCTGTATACTGGTGACAATATCCTACAGTATGCCTTAAGGAATATGCTTATCATATCTAAACCCATGCCTTAGGAGCATGAGCTGAATGTTGGCCTGGTCTAAAATTGAACTCTTATGACTATCTGGCAGCTTCTGCGACATATTCGTAACCTTGGCCCAGCTTCTAGTTGGCATATATCAGTATCAAATTGTCTTCCTTCTGCAGCCACGAGACAGCCTACCTTTCTAAATAAGAGAGGTAATAATGTCTTGCTTTTCTTTGCTATTTTGCAATTGATCTTTAGATTTTTTGTTTTAATTAAAAAGAAGCTAAAATTTAAGGATTTCCATGTTACTTTAATCCTGAGTATTTTGAATCTCTTGCTCTACTAACTCAGACAGTTTTAAAACTGTTGGTCCTGTCTGGCGTCTTGAAAAAATTATGTGGCATTATATCTCTCTCTAGCTTTGGGCTATAGGACTTCTTAATCTGCAAGCTGTCTGCAAGTTTTAAAAGAACGCTTCATCTGCAGTCATTTTAAACAGCCAGTGGAGACAAGATCGCTTTAGTTAGTAACTTAGCAGCTTAAACTGAGTACTCTCTAGTTGGATGAAAATTTAATCAAGGAAAAAAACTCAGAATAAGTTTTTAATTATATTTTATATCTTACTTGGCAACTTGTTCGAAAATGCTGCATAAAACATTCAGAACAGGAAACATTTTATATTGCTGCTTATGATTAATAAATATGGAATGTGAGGCATTCTATTTTATAAATCAAGGTCTTAGTCCAAATTTCCTGTTTTTCTACACTTAAAAAAAAAACCTGAGTGTAAAAATAACACACAAGTTTTTTAGGTACTAAGGAGTCAGCAGGCAAAAGCCATTATTCAGGATGCTAAGACTTTTCTGATCAGCATCAGAAACGTTCATTTTCTAGTCACTGTAGATAAGGAATTTGGTGCAGCTGGTTTTATAAAAATATGAGTAAGTACCACTTCAGATTTTCTATGCTTTTTGAGAAGAGGAAAGAAAACAGATAATACAAAAAAATAAACCAATGTCTTGCAAATACAAGCTCATACATTGTTGGTTCATGGAAAACACCAGTCACCCTTGTTACATCTATTACTGCCTGTGTTTTACAAACCTGGCCACTGTCTTCAATGTTTAATACCCTAACACACATAGGTGTGTTAACACCAACATATTTTGACTTTTGTTTCGAGGTTCCACTCAAGCTATCTACACTTTCTGACTTTCAAATTTTCTCAGCCCAGGGCCCTCCCTGGTGGCGCAGCGGGTTAAAGCACTGTACTAAGAAGCTTAAGGCCACTTCCGCATGAGTTCAATTCCCGCCTGCCCCAGAGGTGACCACATGGCATGGCAGACCTCTCCTGACCCGCCCGCAGCTCCCCTCAGCAGTGTACTTCGTCGATCTGCCTGTTCTGCTCCCCACTCTGTCTCTGGTGAATCCTCTCACCCTCCTCATCTCTGGCCTGTACCCCGGTTCTGTATAAATAAATAAATCTTAAAATTTTTTTTTCTCAACCAGATACTATCATAGGTCTTCCAGAATCTGTCTACAAAAGATTAGCAATTCTGAAGAATACATGAATGGCAGAAGGCACTTTGGGATTATTTAATACTTCATTATGCTAGAGTGAACATTTTCCATTTATGTTTCTTTATAGCCTAAAGAATGTTTCTTGATACAATCAAAGAAAACAAAAGAGGATGCCACCAAGACCAGGAAGAGGAGGAAGGTAATAATAATGCTTCACACTTTACATAGTCTGCTCTGAAGGGGCACTCATTGTAACCTCCATTTAGAGATAGAATAATTGTAAGATTCAGTAAGGTTTGGTAATTTTCTGGGATCACTAATAATAAGTGTTTCTGTTAGGGCTAAAAATAAATTCTTCTGATTCCTATTTAGGTCTGTGGAACATTAGACTTCTTTGTTACCCACCTTGTGTTTTCACTCTGGTGGGAAGCCAACCTTAAGTTTCTAATTCTAGATAGGGTGCACAGTTATCCTGCTTCTGACCCTTTTGGTCCTGTCCAAGAAAAGAAATTTATCAACTTTCTTTTCTTCCCCAAATCCATTTTTAAAACTTCATATTTTAGAGTATTAACAAAAAGAAAATATTAAGTAGATTAAGGTAGTATAAGACTGACTCTAACTTGAAACTATAATTTAAAGCCAAAAGATCACCTTACATTTTGATACTTGTCTGTGAGTATAGGAAGACTCCAATTCTCCTCTGCAGTCTGATGGCTCAGCCTTGGAGGAAATGTGGCTAGCTTTGACCTTCCACCACAGTTGTGAAAACAGCAGTGTAATTTTCTTCCTGCCAAGTTGGGTCTACTGCTAAAGTCAGGAAATATGATTGGGATTAGAGGAAAGAAGATGGACTCAAACCAGTTACTGAACAGCAAGCTTTTAGAAAACTGAGAGTGTGTGCGCCTCTGTTTTCTTTGCTTGCAAATGGCCAAATAGGAAGATGGGAGATGCCAAATTGGCTGAGGTTTGGCAAGTCCCTAAGGAAGTGACTTTAAGTTCTCTTTGATAGTTCATACACTACTGGCCTTCAGGAGCGTTAAGTTCTTGTGACTGAAGGTCATACTCTAGCTAGATAGTTAGCCTTGGCTGAGGTCATGCTAAAATGTGCCCGCTGATGACATAATTTTAGAAGTTAATTCATTTGACAGGACTTTGACCATTCTTGGCAGTGGTATAGAAGTGAAGATATTGTGCAAGGAGGAAAAGTTAAGATGTGGGGGTTGGGTAGGGAGAGTCTCTTTCTGGATCTTTAGTGAAACAGAAGGAAATGAGAAAGGAAGTTTATGATCATGGTTTAATGAATGATTGTGTGCTCTCAGTATATTGCAAGTATTCAGTAAATGTTACACAAATGAGTCTAAAACAGTAGAGATGTTGTGAGTTATTACTGTTTCTTGTGGTTCTTCCTTCCATAGGGCAATGTCAAGTCTGTCTTTCCAAAAATGAGAATTAAGGTTTTAAATGCCTTCTCAGTGGCTCCTATGCTATGATTACTCCTACAATTTTTGCCTTAATTTCAGAAATCCAAACTGAAACTTAGCACATTAAAATCAGGGCAGGTAAGAAATTATCACAACTCCCAGGAATACATGTTGTCTAAGCTTAGAGAGAGGTTTCCACAGTAACAAAATTTCTTGACTTTTAATGGAAAATAACACCCTATTCTGGAGACTCCTACAAGTTTCAGTAAATTTTTGGGCTTCTCCTGAAAATCATAGACAAACAGTTACACGGAACATTTAAATCACCCTTTCAACTTTTAAGAGCATTACAGGCATACCTTGGAGATACTGCAGTTTCAATCCAAACTTTGACAATAAAGTGATGTCATCATAAAGTCAGTCACACCAATTTTTCTGTTTCTCAGTTATGTTTACACTATATTATTATATATGATATATATTATAGTCTGTTGAGTGTTAAATACCATTATGTATTTTTTTAAAGCTTTATTTATTTTTATGCATACAGAACTGGGGTACAGGCCAGAGATGTGGAGAGTGAGAGGATTCACCAGGGGCAGAGTGGGCAGCAGAACAGGCAGATCGATGAAGTACACTGCTGAGGAGAGATCTGCCGCGCCATGTGGTCACCTCCGGGGCAGGCGGGGATTGAACTCATGCGGAAGTGGCTTAAGATTCTTAGTGCAGTGATTTAACCTTCTGTGCTACCAGGGAGGGCCCAGCATTATGTATTGTTAAAAAAACAATGTGCATACCTTATTTTAAAATACTTTATTGCTTAAAAAAACAGTATGCATTATCTAAGCCTTCAGATGAGTCATAATATTCTTGTGGATAGAGGGTCTTATTAAAAACCCAATATCGGCCCTCCCTGGTGGCACAGCGGGTTAAAGCACCGCACTGAGAAGCTGAAACCACTTCCTCATGAGTTCGATTCCCTCCTGCCCCGGAGGTGACCACATGGCGTGGCAGACCTCTCCTGACCCGCCCGCTGCTCCCCTCAGCAGTGTACTTCGTCGATTTGCCTGTTCTGCTCCCCACTCTGTCTCTGGTGAATCCGCTCACCCTCCACATCTCTGGCCTGTACCCCAGTTCTATATGAATAAATAAATAAATCTTAAAAAAAAAAAAAAAACAAAAAAAACACAATATCTGCAGCCCTCCCTGGTGGCACAGTGGGCAAAAGCGCGGCACTGCAAGGTAGCCACAATTGCAGCGGCAGCTGCTTCAGTGCTAGTTGGATCCCCCCACCCCAGGTGATCTACATGGCGAGGCAGACCTTGCCTGTTTTGCCCTCTGCTCCCCTCAGCAGTGCACTTCATCAGTCTGCCTGTTCTGCTCCCGACTCTGTCTCTGGTGAATCCTCTCACCATCCCTGCTCCTCTGGCCTGTACCCCAGTTCTGTATGCATAAATAAATAAATAAATCCTTACAAATACACACACACACACACACAATATCTGCAGAGCACATAATGTACAATAAAACCAGGCATGCCTGCAATTATTTAATGAATATTTATTATGTTTTCTCAAATTTATTTGTTAAAAGTCATATTCACACTTCCTATCTATCACCAAAACCTACGTACAGTACCAGAAGATTGATTCTTAAATACCAAAAGAGTCCACCTATCCTAAGCCAAATGGCATTCTAAAGTGTCTTCTCATTTTTTCTTTTCTTGTCTTAGAAGAAAATTACTGACATTCTTGCAAAGTCAGAGCCAAAACCAGGAACACCTGAAGACCTGCAGAAGCTGATGAAGGACTATTATAGCAGCAGTCGCTCTGTGATTGAATTAGAAGAACTAAACCTGCCAGGTACAAAAAGACTTGTTTTTCTTTTTCCTTTTGTTTTTCCCCCTTAGTATTCTAAGGTTAGTTATTAAGCAGGCTCCAGTTCTAATTGCTGTCAGTTTTCCTAGGAATGAATAGTAAAACAATTTAATCTTTCCTCTCCTATGTATTATGGCTATACATTCTCAGCTGATAGTGAATGTATTTTCCATGTGTTAATATTCCTTTCTTCTATCTAATTGTTTTAACTGTTAGAAGATTTATTAAGATGATAAATCATACTTATTTGGCCTACCAGAACCTTTTTGTAATTGTATTTTTATTCAAAAACTAGCTTTTGGATGTGTATTTTTGTTAGCATATTTTTGAAGGAGTACATATCCTCTCCAATGAGAAAATACATTTTAAAAAAGATAAAGCACACATTTAAAAGTAGAGCTGTGAGAGATTGACCTACTCATCCTTTATAAACAAGAACTTTAACTATAATAAACACTTTCATTTTGTTGTCCTTGTCATGAATTTCTGGTCATAATCTTGTTTTTAGGGTGTTTTACTATCGTAAGACAAGTATAGAATTCTGCGTTTTTAGCAAGTGACACATTAACCCAGGCGATTCTTAAACATTAGTGTTTGAGATCTACTGGCTTAGAATATTCCTAATTAAGTTAAAAGATACTACAAAATTCTTAAAACAAATGATTTTAATTAATTTCAAAATTATGATACATCTTCTAACTCCTTTGTACAGAGATGAAAAAAAAAGAAATTGTCATAAAATCAAACCAGAAAAATGTCTGGACACCGTTGCCTCAGAGCTATTTATAGCTACTAGTGCTATCTAATACTATCTTTTAGAAAACGTTATGTGTAGCTTGATTTCCTCCTCCATTACAATTTTATGCTGTCTAGGACTTCAGAAGCTAACAGCCCCTTTCCTGAATTTTTATAATTCTTTTGTGGTGTCCTTAAAAAAAAAATGCACATTGAGTTTGGAGACAGGAGTGCGCTATTTATTTCTCATCTCAAAAGAATACCCTTAAGGAAATTGAAAGAGTGTGTTTGCACATGAAGGAGACATGGAGTTTGAGACTTCAGGAGCCCAGATTTCTCCAGCAAGTAGAAAACCCTCCTGAAGTATAGCAGCTCTTCTGGAGGAGAGTCACATCCTGGTCCCTCTATCTCAGAAACCTAGTGCCCCGAATATGCCTGTGTCCTTCCTTCAGCTGCATGTATTTCCTCGCCATCGCTGGTCTCCAGTGTTGTGATGGGCTTATTTCTTAAACCTTAAATCTTCAAGATGCAACTGGTTTGGTTTACCACAATTCAGTGGTCACTTTTCCCATCCACTTCTTTTTTAGTTTCCCTTCAACTAAGGAAGGATTTGTGAGATAATAGAACCACTAATACTTCGTAACCTCATAAATTATCATTGCAAACTTCAGTTCTCTAGAATTGTAGAGTCAAAAGACCAGAAGGATTTGAGCTCCATTGTGAGTTTATATTATTACTACATTAGAATTTAGTAATACAGTTAGGCAAGAATATGTGATCATGGCTTGGCGTAGGGAGGAAGAAAAACATGTTAAAAATATCATTATAGCCAAAAAGAACAAGGTTTCCTTTTCAGTGAAGAAATCAGGTTATTTAAGACAGCAAATGAAAGCATCAGTAGAAAGGGTTAAGAAATAAGCCCATCACGACATTGGAGACCAGCGATGGAGAGGAAGTCCATGCAGGTGAAGGAAGGACACACAGGCATATTCCGGGCAGACTGAGGAAGGAGCATAAATACAGGTGGGTATAAAAAATAAAATATTGTTCCTGTTCAGTTCACTGAGTGCCTAACTTGGTTTTGATTTAAGGTTGTTTTTGTCTGTAGGGTAAGAACATGTCTTTTCAATTAATACTGTGCACTGTACACTGTTAATGTCATACACATGGGCACTTAATTAGGTTTCAAGGCAGGAGTTGCTTGGAGCTAATTCAGCTGTCCTCCTGAGAGCTGCAGTGTGGTTTAAATCTGTGCTAAATGCCTGTGGGCTGGCTGCAACTGAATTGCCCAGGAACTTGAAAAGCAAATTCCCAGGTCCACCCCCAAGGAATTCTGACTCACTACACAAAAGGGGGCCCATCCCAGGAATCTGTATCTTTTGGAAAGCTCCCCAAGTGAGTCTAATCATATCCAGGCTTGGGAAATTACAGTTTTATAGACCATCAAAGGCTCTGGAAGCAACATCTTTGAAGTTAGTTACTCACATAATGTGAGCTATATATGCTGGGTCACACTATAAACTTCATTTAACTTAGTCATAATTTAATGTATTACATTGTCTATTATTGTGTTGTTGTGTAGTGTGTTATATTATGATGTGCTATTCCTACTCTATATACATTCCAGTTTCCTTTCCCCTTATATTCACTCTATTAGTGTTTTAAAATAACTATGTATTCCTGTAAAATGTTACATTGTGTGAAAGCACATTGTTTATCTGAATGATGTTGTGCTGATCTTTTTACTCTGTTTCTTTTCAGCTCATTTTCAGAATGTCTTTGTGGCTTTATGTACATTTTGTTCATTGTTTCTAAATACTACATAGTATTGCAGTGATTTCATCCACCCAGCGTTGTTCATCCATTATTTCAAATGTGGACACCTCCCTTGCTTCCAAATCCCCACTGTCCATGCTGTGTGTATCCCTTTATATACCATGTAGGAACATTTTCCATTATCCAGGAATGTAATAGAATTACAAGTTGTATACATCTTGATTTTCCTACTTTTCAAACTAGATGTATGAGTGTACCCTCTCCATTTATAGTTCACAAAGAATTTCTATCATCCTACATTGTAAAAATGTCTACAATTTCTAAATTGCCATTCTAATGTGTACATAAGATGTTATTTCATCAGTCTATTAATATGTACGTCTATGATGACTAAGGAACATATCTCTACATAGATTTGTTAGTTATTACAGCTTTGCTTTTGTAAGTTGCATGTTCCATACATTTGGAAATGAAAATGCTTCACTAGTGCATTGAATGATATGTTTCTATTTCACTACTCTAAGAAATTGTGGACAATTAAATATATAATTACTGCTGCTATAATTTTATTTTTTCATTGGTGAAATAATAATTAAATCCTTTACCTTTTTTTCCCCATCGCCATCCTTTATACCACTTTAACCCTTCCTCCCTTCCCCTTTGCTTAAGTTCAGGAAACTGAATTTGTTTTTTGGTGTCTGCTAGTTTTTACAAGCATTTTGCTTTGTCAAATAATGTACTAGGTAAATATCCAATATTTGTTGTTGACACTGTGAATTGCTTTACAACACGTGATTCTGACGCCAGTGTGCACTGTTAATTTAGCTCTTGAACCACCACCACCAGTTCTTGTTCAGGAAGCCGAAAAAGGAATTCACAGACATTTTAGATAAGCAAGCAAAAACAACCAAACTTTAAGAAAGTAAAGTTTATTTAAGGGAGAGATTTATTTTTTTATTTTTTTATTTAAGGAAGACTGTGCACTGTACTTAGGAGGGGCAAAGAAGCTGTTGTGGGCCTGTGTCTGGGTATTTAAACTTTCCCATAGCCATACTCCTCCCTGCCTATGTGCCATTTTCCCAGCCCTGATCTTAGTTTACCTCCCCTGTCCAAAATCATTCTCTCAAGATTTACTGTCCTTGCTTAGTTCTCCTGAACTTTCTGACTTCATCTTGAGTATGTTTTGGTTAGCATTTTTTTAAATTTATATGTATATGTATGTGTGTGTGTATATATATATATATGTATATACATATTTACTTTATTTTTCATTTTAAAGTGGTTTACTCCCTCCCTCTAGATCCCATAGACTCTCCTCCCCCAGCAACTGTGCACCATCATCACATCCCCTGTGCTCTTCCCTCTCTCCTTCCCATCTCTCCCCTCCCCCCATATCTCTGCTTTATAATTGTCTGGTTTTTGTTTTGTTTGTATTGTTACTATTTTTTCCCCTATGTCTTATTTGGTTCCTCTATATTCCTCCTATAAAATGAAACCATTTGGTAATTTTTTTCCTTCAGACTTATTTCACTGAGCATGATTGGTTAGCACTTCTTAGAATTTACTGTCTTTATATCAGCAGCCTCTTTAACTCTTCCAAAGTCCCTACCAGCACTGTCCCTGAAGCTGCCTAATTAACCCTAACTTGCCTTAGGACTCAATTCCCTCAACTCCTTCCATTTTGCTATAAATTGAAACATTTCATATTTCCATTGGCTGAATAGTATTCCATTGTCTGGACATACCACATCCTCTTAATCCAATCTTCTATCAGTGAACACTTAAGTTATTTGCACACCCTAACTATTGAACAGAATGCTGCAATAAAACACTTAAAGCATGTCATTTTTTTTAAGTTGGTAGTTTATGTCCTTTGGATAGATACACAAGAATGGGGCTACTAGGTTATATGGTATTTCAATTGTCAGTTTATAAAATAAATCCAAATTTCTTTCCAAAATGTCTATACCAGATTACATTCCCACCAACAATGAAAAGGGTTTCTCTTTCTCTGTATCTTCTTCAGCAATTGTTATGGAGGGTCTTTTTAATATGTTCCATTCTTGTGTATTTGAGATGACATATTATCTGGTTTCCCCCTGCATCTTCCTCATTAAAAGTGATGATGAAGAGGGCCCTCCCTGGTGGCGCTGCGCGTTAAAGCACAGAGTTAAGAAGCTAAAGCCACTTCAGCATGAGTTCGATCCTGCCCCGGAGGTGACCCACATGGCACAGCAGACCTCTCCTGACCCGCCCTCTGCTCCCCATAGCAGTTCAACCTGTTCTGCTCCCCATTCTGTCTCTGGTGAATCCTCTTAACGCCCTGCACCTCTAGCCTGTACCCCAGTTCTGTATGCATAAATAAATAAATAAATCTTTTTAAAAGAAAAGTGATGATGAGGGAAGAAAAAAAAGTGATGATGAAGGCCCTCCCTGATGGCACAAGGGGTTAAACACAGTACTATGAAGCTACCGCAGCCACTATCCCT